TGAGACTTGAACCTGGCCAAAACCCACGGTCTTCCAACTGGGATCACTCACCTGGTTTAAGGAGATAATGCAGCTCAGGTCCTTGATGTCTCATTGCAGAAAGAATTCAGTGGGAGACAAAGTGATAGGTAGAAAGTGGATTTCAGTAGAGAGAAACACACTGTACAGACAGTGTGGGCCATCTCAGAAGGTGAGCGCGGCCTCGAGATGTGGTGTGGTTAGCTTGTATGGGCTGAGTGATTTCATCGACTAATGAATGGGAGGGTCATTCCAGCTATTTTGGGGAAGAGGTGAAGATTTCCAGGAATTGGGCCACTGCTTAATTTTTGGTTTTTGATGACTGGCCTCAAAACTGTCATGATGCCTGTGGGTGTGTCATTCAGCGGGCTGATGTGTTACAGTGAGCATGCTATACTGAGGACCTAGGTCTAGTGGAAGTCAACTCTTCCCCAAATCTAATCAGTTTCTGTCCTGTCTTCAGCGTATGTCATTCTGTGAAAGATTATGACCTACCCCCTTCCCTCCTGTTTCATTAATAATCATACCCACCTCTTGAGATTTCCTTGGACAGCAAGATCAAACCAGTCAATCCTAAAGGAAATTAGCCCTTATTATTCACTGGAAGAGTAGCTAAAGAGCCTCTTGATGAAAATGAAAGAGGAGAGTGAAAAAGTTGACTTAAAACTCAACATTCAGAAAACTAACATCATGGCATCTGGTCCCATCACTCCATGGCAAATAGAAGGGGCAACAGTGGAAACAGAGAGAGACTTTATTTTGGGGGCTCCAAAATCACTGCAGATGGTGACTGCAGCTATGAGATTAAGATGCTTACTCCTTGGAAGAAAAGCTATGACCAACGTAGACAGCATATTAAAAAACAGAGACATTACTTTGCCAACAAAGGTCAAAGCTAGAGGTTGCAAAGAGTCGGACACGATTGAGCAACTGAACTAAACTGATTCACGGGACAGACTGATGCTGAAGCTGATGCTGATGCTGATGCTGAAGCTCCAGTACTTTGGCAACCTGATGCAAAGAGCTGACTCATTGGAAAAGACCCTGATGCTGGGATCAGTTGAGAGCAGGAGAAGTGGACGACAGAGGATGGGATGATCGAATGGCATCACCAATTCAATGGACATGAGTTTGAGCAAACTCTGGGAGATAGTGAAGGACAGGGAAGCCTGGCGTGCTGCAGTCCATGGGATCGCAGAGTCAGCCACAACTGAGTGACTGAGCAACCAACAAATGTCGCAGGATAGCCAGCTTGTTGGGCATCTGGATGCCAGATTCTTTTGTAGAACAGAGAGAAGTGGTGAGGAACCAATGTCAAGAGGCAGAATAGAGAGGGAGAGTTCAGTGAGGAAGTAAAGTAAAAAGGGCCATTGGCTTTTCAAATCATCTCTGATAATGGCCAGTCTTTGTAAGGGGTGTGTTAATCTCTTCTTTTCACAGGTGGACAGGGTCAGATTATCTCCCTGTGAGCTGATCAAAGGCACTTTACTTAAACACATAGGCAGAAGGGCAGGGTCCTCTGAGGCAGGCTGTTGCCTATAATAACAACAGCAATGAAAAGCAAGTCAAAGAAACAGTTCCAACGTGGAGTCAGAATTTGTTCTTCTCTGCAACATAACCACCAGACAGCCAGGGAATTTCCCTCATACTTATTTTCTAATAAGGGAATCAATTTGTGATTGAGCAGGACCCTATGGGGCCTTCCCAGGACAGAAAACCCTGCCCTGTATCCTCTGCTTTGGTTCCTCTCTGAAATATTTCGATAATAGTATCTGATACATACATCCTGAGTTTTTTTTTTTAATAGATGTGAAAACCCCCACCAAATGGAAGATGTTACCTGCTTGATGGCCATGAGCTCATAACCCACATAACCACATTCTATACATAATGGTTGGCATCTACTAACCCCAAACTCCCAATCTGCCCTTCCCTCACTCCCCCTCCACCTTGGCAAACACAAGTCTAGAAACTGAATATTTTAAATATTATAATGTGGTAACTGAAAGTCACAATCCCCCTCCATTCTAGAGATTGCTGTTGTTACTTGTTGAATGGTGCAATTATCTGTTTAGTGACTTTTCCAAGCTCTTTCTGCAAAGACTGTAAATCTTGTTCTATGTGATCACTGAAGTTTCTGTTCTTCTATCTCTGAGGTCAACCAGTCATTTCATTAAGGAGAAAAAAGGTCTTCCTTCCCTTTAAATTCTTTTAGCAGACACTGCCCAGGAAGCCCTTCGGACCTAGAGGACTGAGAGAAAGGCCAGTTTCTTCTCTACTCCCTCAGTGAACCGCTCTGCAAGTCAAAACACACATCCCCCAAATTTGAAGGACCAGGTTCCAGCACCCTGGTACCTGCAAGCCACTCTGTGAACACGAGCCACAGTCCCCACAGCTACCTGCTATGTGAATGGGGTATGCATGATGGTAGCTGCAAGTAAGATGTGACATTTACTGCCACAAACCTGCTTCTTCAGGCATTCCCATGGATGCCACAAGTGTCTAACTAGACTTTAGAATTCTGAAACAGTGATTCTGACAGTTCTTCCCAGCTCCATAATTGATTTGGTTCAGGGACTGATTCTTGGAACTTCCTGTTCTACCATTTTCCATGACGGCACTCTTTTTTATATATTCTTGTTGGGATAATAGTATCCATATTAAAATGTATTGGTGTAAATTATAAAAAGAATTTAAGTGAAGGCTGCTTAGGTGTATAAATAATGTAAGTATTGAATTGTTTCTTAGGAATTATTTTTCATTACACCTGTCCATCTCATAAATTGGCTGGTTGACCGAAAAGATGGAATTTTACAGTATCTGTAGTGGTGTCATGATAGATCACTACATCGAATCTTGTGGCTGTATAGAGAACATGGCGCGTCCTTGTTGTGTCTGTAGTTAGTCTTTTCCTCCTATTGGGTGACCCACTGATTAACTGGGGAAGAAATCCAATACAGTTTAAAACTTAGTCTAAGGTAATGACTTAAATAGTCTATTTAGATATTGTCCAGTTCTCTCTGAGATAAAAATGCTCAGTGTCTGCTTTTTACCCTGGGATGGTTTAAGGGTATGGGGTGAGGGTTGTGGTGTATAAGATCTTCTGGTAGCCTTGGGGCACTGTTCATTTCCCTTGGTTTGATGTTGGCTACTTCCTCTGGCCTCTGGGGCAATGTCCCTTTACCTCCTAGTTGTGTTGACCTTATGGGTGTGTGCTGGTGTAACTTGTGGTAGGGCCTTTCTGGTTGATAAGAACCCAGCAGTATCCCCTGACAGCATCATTTTCTCTTTGACTCCTCCTCTCCAGGCTCTCCTGGATGTCTTGTTGTTCAGTCACTCAGTTGTGTCCAAGTCTTTGTGACCCCATAGACTGCAGCATGCCAGGCTTCCCAGTCCTTCACAATCTCCTGGAGTTTGCTCAAACTCATGTCCATTGAGTTGATGATGCCATCCAACCATCTTGTCCTCTGTCCTGGACATCTGCCACATGTCCATCTGGCGTGGACCCTCATCCCCCACCTTGTTGCAGGATTATCCTGTTCCCTGGTGGGTTCCACAGTCAGTCCTCCAGCTCCGTAATCTGAGTCTCAGAGTTTTGTCATTGCCTGACCATGTTTGGAAAAACCCTGTCTTGAGACAATGGCCTAGCTTGTAAGACTGAATTTACTAGTAATCCTTCTTTGTATGTCAGATGTTGCATATTGCTTCTTCTTATCACTTCCTGTGTTCTTCCCTAGTAAATCCCAATTATTGCCTAGGGAGATGAATGCTTCCAGCAGACCAGGGCAAAGGCCATATACTCCAAGAGCAAAATAACTACAAGAATAATTTTCAAACACTGTCACATGTGGGTATATAAATACATATGAGGATAAAATTTAATTATCCTTAAATATTTAATTATAAAACAGTCATGTAATTCTAAATATATGCAGCCTTAAATTTAAGGAATATAGTATCTTTAGAAAAGCATAAGTGGTGTGCACGTGCACACCACTTATGCTTTTCTAAGAGGAGCCTAGTAGGCTGCAGTCCATGGGGTCGCTAAGAGTTGGACACAACTGAGCAATTTCACTTTCACTTTTCACTTCCATGCATTGGAGAAGGAAATGGCAATCCACTCCAGTGTTCTTGCCTGGAAAATCCCAGGGATGGGGGAGCCTGGTGGGCTGCCGTCTCTGGGGTCGCACAGAGTTGGACACGACTGAAGTGACTTAGCAGCAGCAGTTAAGATCTATATTCATGTGTTGTATAGAGATATGTTATAAAGAAACATATATGTTATACATATTTATATGTAATATATATTTTTTAATTATAGCAATATGACTATGTCATGTAAACACACAGAGTTGACCCTTGAACAATTAGAGGCATTGATTCTCCGTGCAGTTTAGAATCTGCTTCCCTGGTGTCTCAGTGGTAAAGAATCCACCTGCCAATGCAGGAGACACAGGTTCGATCCCTGATTCGGGACTATCCCACATGCCCCAGAGCAGCTAAGCCCTGTGCACCCTAACTATTGAGCGTGTGCTCTAGATCCTGGGAACCGAAACTTCTGAAGCCTGCATGCCCTAGAGCCCATGTTCCCCACCAAGAGAAGCCACCACAATGAGAAGCATGCGCACCACAACAAAGAGTAGCCCCCGCTTGCTGAAACTGGAGAAAAGCCCGTGCAGCAATGAAGCTCCAGCACAGCCATAAATAAATAAATAGATAAAATTATATTAAAAAAATAAAATCTGCACTTGACTTTATAGTTGGCTTTCTGTATCTGTGGTTCCACATCTGCAGAGTCAACCATTTGTGGATCATGTAGTACTGTATTATGTATTTGATGAAAAACAATCCAAATGTAAATAGGCCTGTATAGTTCAAACCTATGTTGTTGAGGGTCCACTGTATATATATTTAAGACCTTCTATCAACTTTCCCATCACCAAAAATAGTGTGATTTAACACACCCATTTCTTTCATTGCAGGACTGTTCGTGTGTGGTTAAAGAGAGACAGTGGACAGTACTGGCCAAGCATATACCATGTGATGCCTTGTAAGTATCTGGATCTCTGTCTTTAAGAATCAGACATGGACCCCAACTCCCATTGCTTCCCAGATTGCCTGCTCTGTGTTTTCTTGAGTAGAGATACATGCGGGTTGGGATTATCATTATAATGGGAAGGGCCATATTATATCATTTTAGCTCTTAGTGTGTAAAATGAGAAAATTGTTTTGAAACTGACTGTATATTCACGGTTTCTGAGTAAGATTAATGGAAGGACTTCAATACCTAGGTTTCCTGATTACAGTTGTCTCCCTCTCATTTCCAACTTTTTGTTTAACTTTTTTGTAAAGTAGTTCCTTAGACAATTCAAAATTTTGTCCAGTGATTACATTTATGAAGTAAATTTGTTCTTACATTATTATTCTTTTATTTGTTCAAATTCAGGACATTGAGCATTGAACATTCAGCTCTCAAAAGGATTTGCTGTGGATTGAAATGTTCTAGTTAGAAGTCTGTCTCATTTCTCCAAAAGCTTCTATGAGAAATATGTCCTTGCACTGATAAATAGTGAATCTTTCAAATATACTTTTTAAAAAAGATGACTAATTCTTAGATTCTTGAACTGGCAGAAGTTCCCCTGCAGGGAGAGAGCTGCTGCCCGTGCCCCCCAACCCCTCCCCAGATAGGAAATTTCTTTATAGTCTATGGTTTTATCAAAATTAATGAAGTTTGGGTATCTTATTCCATATTTATTTTAGTGTAATTATTTGAATTCATTGTCAGTCATATTATTAAACATTTCTCTTACTCCCCTTCCTGCAAACCTTAATTGAAATTGACATACTAGAAAAATGCCCTAGGTTTGTCATTTGGGTTTCTGTACCCTCTGGCTTCTTGCAATGTGCACCTCTTCCCTTGATACTGGTATCCCAGTTTGAGTAGTATATGCCACAACATACAACCCAGAAAAATTCATGCAGTACTATAGATATGCTAAATCTTATGCCTCTGGCAAAAGAAGATTGTAATAACTTAAGCAACAATTTTGCGTGTTTATGGACAAATACATTATTAAGGATGTAATGGATTTCTGTGATTTCAAATTTATCTTTGAGGTTTGCATTTCTTTAGAATTGTGGTGAATAGATGATAACCATGTAGTTGAACCAAGTATCCCACTCTACATTATCGAAAAAGAAACATAATTCAGTATAGTAAGTCCCCTACATGCAAATGAGTTCCATCCTAAGAGTGTGTTCTGATAAGTCCAGCAAAGTTAGCCTAGGTACCCAACGAAAACAATCGGCTACATAGTACTGTACTGTAATAGGTTTATAATACTTTTCACACAAATAATACATAAAAAGCAAACAAACACAAAAAATAAACATTTAATCTTATGGTGCAGTACCTTTAAAAGTATAACAGTATAGTATGACAGCTGGCATAGGGGGGCACGTTCGCATCTTTGAAAACTTGCAACTTGAAGGTTTCGTATGTAGGGAATTTACTGTGCTTAGAGTCTCACCTTACTGGTTGTGCCTCCAGCAGACGCCATTGCACAACAAAGACCCAAGGTGAACTTTCTTTTTAAGTCTTGGCAGTGATGGGGGCTTAGGTAAATGGAAAGGAAAGGAATCCTATGATTGATTTTTCTTTTTTCCTTATTTTTAAGTCTTACCTGTGGCCTTTTTCATCACACTTGACATAATATCCAGCAGGACGAGCTGGGGAAATTCTGTAGTTCAGCAGGTTGAAGTTGACCCCAGAGTCCTGTCATTCCCATGTGACTATGAAGACAGGAGAGGCCACTGTGGGCAGACTGACGAGGGCTTGGGGATGGCGCCTAAGGAATCTCGCTGAGATGGGTGTTGATAGGAACCTCATGGAGATGTGGGATCCTAAACAGTTGCTTACCAACCACCCGCACTTCCCAGTACACACATCCACACACATCTGATGTCACTCTCTAATGTTCTCTTTGTTGAAATATCACTGAGGATGCAGAGAGGCCTCGAGTTGCATGTTTATCCTTTAGTAAGCTGTATCTGTGAATGACTAAAGAGAGCTGCTAGAGCTCTTGCACCCGACATAGGTGCTCAGTAACGAAGTACTTATTGAAGACTTGAATCTGTTAATAAAGATGAGTTTCCCTGAGAGTATTATCATACATTTTCCTAAGTGACCGAACGTGATCTTTGAGAAGAATGACCCTCTAATTATTTTGCCTGTGACCGTCTATGAAAGGGAATACCATGCTATCAACGTGTGGTCTGTGGACCGGCAGCATCAAGGTCACCTGAGAACTTACTAGAAATGCAAATACTGGGCTCCACCTGAGATTACTGAATGAGAATCTGCATTTTAAAAGATCCCGAGATGATTTGAATGCCTTTTGTATTTTGAGGTTGCCTTTTGGCATTTTCTCCAACAAAAATGGAAATGGTTTTTCCAGTAGTCATGTGCAGGTGTGAGAGATGGACCATAAGGAAGGCTGAATGTCAAAGAATAGATGCTTTCTAATCATGGTGCTGGAGAAGACTCTTGAGAGTCCCTTGGACAGCAAGGAGATCAAACCAATCAATCCTAAAGGAAATCAACCCTGAATATTCATTGGAAGGACTGATGCTGAAGCTGAAGAATACTTTGGCTACCTGATGCAAAGAGCCAACTCACTGGAAAAGACCCTGATGCTGGGAAACACTGAAGGTGGGAGAAGAAGAGGGTGACAGTGGATGAGATGGTTAAATAGCATCACTGACTCAATGGTCCCTGACTGAGTTTGAACAGCCTCCAGGAGATAGTGAAGGACAGGAGAGCCTGGCGTGTTACAGTCCATGGGGTCACAAAGAGCTGGACACAACTTAGTGACTGAACAACCAACATGCTGATCTATTTACTTATGTTTATATGAACACATGTGAAGGCTCATGCCTGTACAGTGTTAATTTGTTAAAAATAGATATAAGTACACATTCTAGTTGATCGAATATTTACTGTGCACTGACTATATACAGGCCATCAAGCTGGATGCCGGAAGATGCAGGTGAACAGCGGGTGAATGGTCAGGATTATTTCCGTAATCTTTCATTGTTGGACGGTTCCATCTATTGTGGAGGGTGAAAAGAACAGAAGGCTGTGTTCTTCACAGTTGGTTGGAAATTGGCTTTTATATTAGGGATCATATGCATTCAGATAACATAGGAACTGATCTCTGAGCAAGATCTTTTGTTTACCTTAAGAGAGGCAGAATCTTACTGCATAAAGAAATAGGCTACATTTTCATGTCATTTAGAATGTATTCATTTATTGAATTTCCACTTTTTTGGGGGGAAATCCTTTCTATTGGAATGTGTTTTGTTACAAGGTTACTCAATATTGTCCTTAAATAAGGGGCATGTGGTATTAGTTACAAAGGGGCTTCCCTGGTGGCTCAGAAGGTAAAACGTCTGTCTGCAATGCAGGAGACCTGGGTTTGATCCCTGGGTTGGGAGGATCCCCTAGAGAAGGAAATGGCAACCCACTCCAGTACTCTTGCCTGGAAAATCCCAGGGACGGAGGAGCCTGGTAGGCTACAGTCCATGGGGTCACAAAGAGTCGGACAAGGCTGAGCGACTTCACTTCACTCACTAAGTGGAAAACTACAGTTTACTAGAGGCTATAATATGGACACCACAAGGCAGATATGACCATATTGTGTGTTTATAGTTGTACAAAAAAAGTAGTATTCCAAGTCCAGAAGAAAACAGATAATATCTTGTATGTGCAATATATGATTTATTTGCTTACTTTGTCCATTAAAATACCTTTAAAAAAAAGTTGAACTCATAGAAACAGAGAGTAGAAAAGTGGTTGCTAGGGGCGGAGAGGTGGCAAATGTAACTTCAGTTATAGGATGTGTGGAATCTGGGGATCTAGTGTATAACATGGTGACCTACATTTGATAACATGTATTGTAAGATTGAAATTTGCTGAGAGAGTACAACTTAAATGTCCTTACCAAAAAAAAAAAAGGATTAAATATGTGAGGTGAATTAAAAATGTGTTAATTTGATGGCAGGAATCCTTTCACAACATATATCAACTCATCACTTTGTAAGCTTCAAATACCTTATAATTTTACTTGAAAATTATACCTTAATAAAGTTGGAAAAAAGTAAAGTCACAGAACCTGAAATATCAAACACTGAGAAGAAAAAAGCCCTTTTAATATGGTGTTTGTCACATTCTGAGTAGGATAGTAACATCTTATAGAATTGAGAAGTATTTGGAGTTGATTGCAGGGAAGGGAGCAGAAGACATTAGATGAGCAAGAATGAATACTGAGGGCCCAGTTTGAGGGCAAGGAGTGAGCCTAAAAGGCAGAGTGTGATACAACTGCATGAACTTCAGAGAGTGGCAGGTGAGAGAAAGATGAGGAGCAGGCGCATCGTAATCAAAAACCCAGCCGCTGCTTTGGAGGTATCCTCATACTGTCTTTTCTGAGACATCCCGCTTCCCTGGGCTTCCTTGGAGGCTCAGTGGTAAAGTGTCCTCCTGCAAGTGCAGGAGACTCGGGTTGGATACCTGGTACGGGAAGATCCCCCAGAGAAGGGAAAACTCACTCCAGTTTTCTTGCCTGGACAATCCCATGGACAGAGGAGCCTGGTAGGCTATAGTCAGTAGGGTTGCAAAGATCATGACTTGCTTCCTCTCCAGGAGGGAGGGATCTAGGAGAAACTAGATTTGCCTGGTTAAGGCTGTTCGCCCCTGAACCAGTCCAATTTCCCCAGGATTTTAGAGTTTGTAGTAGGAAATGCTAGTCTCAACTTAGGTTGGTCCCTTGAGCTGGGAACTCAGAAGTCCAACAGCTGTGTGGCATTTGTGTGCATGAAGCAAGTGTGAATCACTTGGCTCCAGATGGAGAGAAGCCTGAGCAAGTGGCGCCTTAAGGCTTCCTTCATGCTCTGAACCCCAAGCTTGGCTCCGATGGTGCCCTTGAGCTCAAGAGGTGCTCCCTCTCTTGCTGCCATATGCTGCCTGTTTGCACTTAAGTCCCTGCAGTGGGT